CAAGCCCGGATTGGGCCAGCCACAGGCACTGCTGTGGCCATTGGCGGTTGGGGATCCAACCCCTGATCTGCCACGGGAGCAGATGACACCGCACTCGTCCACACAGGCCCAGTGCGGAAAGCGGGAGGAGATGGGGCTGAAAGGGAGTGCGTCTCCCACGCACTGGATCCAGGATGGACTCTGGCGTGGGGCTCACCAGAGCTGGGCAACATCCATAGAAACCTGGAGGGGAGCAGCTTGCTGCCACCATCCCAAATTCAGCACTCGCCTCTGGTCCCAACCTGGCTTCAAGGGCTGCCCCAGAACGCGGGCAGCTCTACACCGGCCGGTCCCTGTGGCATGAGCATTCCAGCTATCTGTCCCCATTGGCAACTTTCTGCAGGGAGGAGACTCCTGCCAGACCCCCTTAGCTGATTCAAGTCATTCAAGGAGCAGGGCTGTCTCTCAGCCCCTGCCAAGGCGGAACCGCTGCCAAATTGGTTTGAAATTAGCCAAGAGGCTGCAAAAAACATTCTGCTCTACCGGTTTCACAAAGGGAAGAGCTCCGATTCCGCACATCCCATGGGGGCCAGGGAGGCAGGGCCTGGCTCGCCCCGGCAAGTGCCCCAGAGCACGCTGCAACGTGCAACAAGGGGCCAGGGCAGCTCATCCCCCGCGCAGGAGGATGCAAAGCCGGCCAGGGCCGACACTGGCCTCAAGGCCACGGCTTGCTCCCGAGTGGAGTAGAGAGCAGGGCGCTTTTGGCTTGCGGGCAATGCAGCCCCAGGCAGAGGCCCACGGAGCCGGGACGGCCGCACCAGGCTCAGCTCCCCACCCCGCATCGGGCGAGCGTGCATGAAGCCGAGCCGCTCCCCTGCGCCACCCAAGCAGGAGCCAGCCACTCACTTACAGTAAATAGGAGAAAATTTATTTATTTATTTGTTACAAAAGGCAAAAAAATAGATTGCAAACTCTAGCAGGTCTAAGCTGGGCTGGTGGGTCATGTCCAGCTGGGCTGCAGCTGGAGGACATGGTGTGTCCACGGCCAGAGAACCCAGCCTCTGCTGCGGCCTTCCAGGAACGCCGAGTGCATAGCATAGGAAGAGGTACACTACAAGGATACGAGCTGCTGGGAGGGGGGCTCTAGCCCTTTGCCCTGAAAACTAGAGGCGCCAAACAGAAAACACAGAGAGCACCCACCCCAGCTCCCTGAAAGGGGGAGGCCCGTGGGGACATGGAGGCAGCAAGAGCGGCTCCAGGACAGCCTCGGTCATAGATGTGCTCATGGCAAGCTGCTGCTTTCCAAGCTCTCTTGAATCCCATGTGGCATCTTCCAGGATGTACCAGCGGGGAGCTCCCTTCACTGCAGAGTGGGCCTCCAGCAACCCTGTCCAGCCTCATGCCCCTTGTCCCTGCACGCAGGGGCAGGTAGGAGCTGTGGTTATTGCACTGGACAGGGTGTTGTTATGGCTTTGAGCTTCACAACCGCAGGACGGAGGCTTTTCCTCAAGCATGGTGGCAGGAGGGCAGCAGGCATGGGCCTGGAGAGCGGAGGCACACACGGTGGCAATGGCTGTTGCTCCGGGGAGCGGCTGTGGCATCTCCACTTCTCTTGAGATGCTCCAAGAGAGGCAGAGGGCTGCAGGCCACGAGAGCTTTAGGGCCCTCACCGTACTGGGGTGCCCGCGGGACCGGAGAAGGTGGGAGAGAAAGAGAAGGTTAGTAGCAGAAACAGTATCAGAAGTGGGGAGTAGGAAGCAGAGCAACTGTGGCTGGCTAGAGGGATTGAAGGAGCACTGTGCTGGCAGGAGCAAGGTTGACAGTGGTTTATCCTACAGCTAACCCCAGCTCAGACGGATCAGGTGCATGAGACCCTGTGCAGCCAAGCCAGGGCAGAAGGTGATGTGGGATATGGCTGCTCCATCCAGGAGCCAGTGCTAAGGTCCCCAAATCCAACCTGCTCCATGGACAACACTGGGATGGCAGGGGCAGGATGCGAGTGGCGAGGAAGATCAGTCTGCTCAGGGCAGGAGAACAGCTGCCGGGGTCGAGCATACACAAGCTGGCACCAGGCTGTGTGAATGGAAGGAGGTGACAGGGATGCCACAATGTGCTTCGAAAGGAACTTACCTCCACTGCTGGCATAGCCAAGGAGCAACCTGGCATTACGGAGAGCAAAACTGAGGTACATGGGGAAGGAGGTGAGGGAGTGACTGAGTCACAAGTGCAGCAGTGGCAGAGCTGCGAGTAGAAATGTGCTTCTGGCTTCCAGTCCTCTGCTCAGGCCCTGGCTCGCTCTAACCCAAACCCCTGTAGCAGCACAAACCACAGCTGCAGTGCAGCCCGAGGGGGTGTCACACGGACCTCTGTGCAGCTGGCGGCTCATGGACCCCATGGTCATGTGGTGGGGATGAGATGAGGCGCTGGAGCAGATGGATGACTGGAAGGAGGGAGAAGAAAGTGCTGCCTTACCAGCTAACCCTCAGAAATGGGGCTAACATCCGAGGAGGGGGCTTATCCCGTCACGCAGTGCAGGAAATGGCAAAGTCCTGGCAGGCGTCCTCCTGGGGAAGACACCAGAGATTATGCAGCTCAACGCGTGCCGGCACAGAGCAGGCTGGGTTGGGCAGGGAGACCTTGGACTCGGAGACAGCTGGGAAAAGGACACGCGACCTCTGCAGGATGGTGCAGTCGGAGCTGGATGCAGGATGAAACCACATCCATGGAAAGAGGGGGGCAGGAAATGCCTCTTGGCTCTAGCAAGAGCCAGAGCACCACAGAGAGCTGCTGGGCTCTGCTGCCAAATGCCATCATCCCGCAGGAAGATGCAGGAGCTTCCAGGAGAGGTCTAGGACCAACAGTCCAACTCCCCCCTGACAGAGGGATGTTAAAAACAGACACCTGCCCTCTTCCATGTTAAAGGAATAAATAAAAAGAAAACCCAAGCACTTAACTCTTTAAAAATATAATTTTATTATGCTGAGTAACAAAAGAAACTGGTTTAAATAAAAGCAGGAAGGCGCTGGGCCCCCAGCAGCACCCCACATTGCCCCGGCAGCCTCGGCAATGGGCGCTCCCTGCATGCCGGCCCCTGTCCACGCAGCCTGGCGCTCCTGCCTTGTCCCACGGCTGCCGCTAGAAGGGAGCACCGAGGCTCCTTGAAGGCAGTGACAAATCCCTTCAGGAAGATCAGGAGAAGCAGGGATGGCACCGCATAGCGCTAGCTTCCTCCCTCCCCAGGTGCAAGATGCTGTCACGCAAAGGTGACAAACTGGGGAAATGTTTGGCTGGGATGAGCCTCCAGGAGGAAGCAGGAGGGTGTCACGGTGCTGGAGTTGTCCTGCCCTCCTGCTGCGCCTCCCTGGCTCTTGGCAAAGGGGAAGGTAGCACTGGCAGTCACAGTGAGCTGACACCAAGATCCCAAACACACGGCCAGGGGAACCTTTCCAAGGTGCGAGAAAAAGTGGTAAAGGAAAAGCAACCCAGGAACTTGTTTTGCCACATGCCAGTCCCAGAGAGGTGGGGGAAGGCGGCAAAGGGACTCTTTCGATGTTAGTACCGGGGGTGCCTGGAAGATCCCATGGCTGAAAACCAATACAGGTTGCAGAGAGCCTCATGAAGGAGCTCCAAGAGCTCCCCCAAAGCGGTGCGGACAGCCCCGCTCCCTTCCGCCTGCGCTAGCAGAGGCAGCTCTGTCAGTGGCAGTGGGTGAAGCACAAGGGTGGCTAATTCAGCAGGGCCACACAGCCCCTGCAGACACCCTGACTCTGCCCAGGGTGGAAACCTACGTGGCCAACCCACAGAAACCTAAAACCAGGTGGCTTGACATGAAACACTGCAAGTCTCTGCCCTGGTGCTAACATGCACAGCACTATCTACACCAGACATAAAATGTTCTGGGTAGAAAAAAAAAATCTACAAATTGTGCAAAAATATCCAGCAGCTTTTAATAACACGATTCAAGTATTGCTAACAAGGTCTGGGACTCTCCTGTATGTATGCTCCAGGGTTAGGAACCCACAGAGCTGCCTGGCCCTACTCTCCCAGCACAGAGGCAGCCTGGGACATGCCAGGACACAGGAATCGTTCCTGAGGGACTGTGAACAGTCCTGCTCTCATCTGCTGGCCAGAAACTCAAACCCAAGAGCACAACATGAGGCTATCAGAGACCAGCACCCACCCACTCACTGCTTCCCCTGGGTAACTCTAGCTAGGAAGGATGTGAATTTACCTGCTCTTCTGGTGCCTTTAAGTGTCCCACAGACAGGAGCCAACTGAGCTTTCCTAGCAAATTGAGGTCAAATCCTACAACTGTTCCTTTCCAGGCAGCATCTCACCATGAGAGCTGCAGAACACTGCACGTTTTTCCCTTTTTCCCCATGAAGATGAGTTTTTTTTCCTAACTTGTGCCCTGGCTGCAAAGCATGCTCTTTCTAGCTGAAACAAAAGCACTCAGAGCTCTTCAGTACTCCCTTAAGGACCAGCCAGAAAATGGGATCAAACGGCAGCTGGGACATCTAGCCAGCTTCCATGCCTGCTGGGAGCCAGGGAGCCCACCCAGGAAAACAGCCACAACTTATCCAGGCACAGCAGCTTCCAGAAGAGAAAGCTGCTCCTGCAGCTCCTGGGAACCCAACCATTAAGACACAGAACCCCTCCACAGACACAGAGGAAGAGGCATTCATGGAGACATTGAGAATACCAGGGAACTTCCACCTCTGCCAGCCCAAAAGATGAGGCTTGACAACACAGCTCAGAGGAAGAACCGGTTGCTCGCGTGCACCTCCCCTGCTTGGCCCACCTCCTTACTCCTTGTGCTGAACACAGCGACTTTGGAGCTCCAGACTCAGCGGGCTGGTGGCTCTCACACCTATTTGCTTCCCAGGTACAGTGAGGACCCACTGCTTTCTGCTCAAGTCTGAGAGTTTTGCACGCTCTATCAGTCAAAAGTCCAGGCCGGCCACATCACAGTGAGACAAATAACCAAAAATAATAAATAAATTAAAATTAAAAAAAAAGGCAACATATGGCTCTGAGTCTTTGGCAGCTCTGCATCACAGGGCTGTCCTGCCTGAGGCCAGGGAGATGGTAAGAGGGGAAGGTAGTGGCTGGAGTTTGGTGCAGGCACAACTGGGCTACGACACAGCACCACTAGGGAATGCCTCCTACCATGCTGGTGTCAGTTTTGGCTCCAAAGGAAGGGATTTCATTCTTAGGACTGGATGGCGTTCCGACTTCTGGCTGAATAAATCCTCTTCTGTCTATCAAACTGGAAAACAAAAGGGAAAAGGGCTAAGTAAAGGGAAAGGAGTTACAACTCGCAGGACACGAAGACTATAAGCTACGTGCCAGCTGAATCAACCAGTTTCTACAGAGAGAGAGAGGGGAAAAAAAAAGGGGGGGGGTCAGTCTTTAAAGTTTGCACAAGATAAGGAAGTGCTAAGCCTGGTAGTGAAAACTCCCTTTCCCAGCGCCAGGAGAGCAGCCAGGTGAAGGAGCGGAGAACAGACAGCACTCAGTACAGGATTTTGGTTTGCCCAGCCATACCAAGCATGTGCCCCCATCCCAGCATAGAGTTTTAAAGCAGATCTTGACCCATTCAGTAGATGTGCTGAGAAGCTGCTAAATCAACTCTGCCCACAAAACCTGACATTCAGGCGCCCCTGTCACAAGGATGGGAGCTCGTAGACTGCAGAGGTTCAGAGATGGGTCTCCTTGTGGGAGCTGCTAACCAGAGCATCAGCAGGAGCGGTTTGGACGACACAGCTCCTCGTCCATTAGACGAACCACAAACATATCACACAAGCCACCACGGTCTTTAGACAGTAAAAGCTTTGGGTCACCACAAACCCAAATGGCAACTGGGAAAAAGGACTTTACAACAGGAAAACATAAATGAGAAAGAAGGCTTGGCGTAAAATGCTACTCTCCTGCCTGCTCAGCTCTCTCAATCTGCAGATTTATAGTTACTGAGTGGCAGCAGCGGTATTTCAGCAGCTCCGGACCAGTAAAGAGCTTAGGGGTACTTCAGAGAGCAGGGCAGGACATAGGGCAGGAACAGAGAACCCAGTGACTCTACCTATGTGGCCTTATTTGAAATTTCAGGCACCTTCCTCTGCTGTTACCTTACACTGAGTTAGCACCTCTGGGATGCTCTGTGTCAATCCCAAGAGGATCCCAGCAAACAAAATATGTCTCAAGGAGACCTGCACGTCCTAAGACAGGCTGGGAGCTCCAAGTCAGAGTGCAGGTCCTCAATTCCAGCAGCCAAAGGCTGGGGCACTCCAGCCCGGCTCAGCCCAATTGCACCCTCTTGTGACAAAGGGCTGATAATTCTACACTGCTGATGAGATGAAGGAAGAGTAGCCCAGAGGTGACCATGCTCCAGGTCCAAAACTTTATTTTATTACACAAGGAGGGAACTGCCTGCCTTTGTTTAAATGAACGTTCTGGTTAACTCACAGGTAAGAGAATTTGGTAGAATGTTATTAAGCAGTTCAGGAATCCGAGTGTTGCTTAAGGAACAATCTGATCTGGTGCAGAACCTTGCTGACTGCTTGCCAAGATCAATCCTTGCAGTACAGGAGGAAAAGTATCTGTGTTAGCAAGTACTGTTCAGCCTCATGGAAGCAGATGTGTTTGGCTGGCACAAATCCTTGTGAATTCACACTGTTTGGAGCCCCTCTTGTAGCAGGATGCGCTTCTCAATGCGCTCTTACCTGGGATGGAATGGCCCACACAGCACCGCACAGCAGTTTGTGAGGATACTTTTATGGCTGTAAGGATTGGCAAACTCTGAGCCCCTCTTATTTGACCAGGACCCTTTGATCTGAAAGGAAAAAAAGATACACGTAGATTAAGATGGGAAAGATGTGATGTAATTACATGATAATAAAAAAATCAGTTAAAATCCTTGATCAGGAGGCAAACAACTTTTGTCTTGATAAAAATAACCTCCTCCTCTTTGCTTTACCAAGCAGGACAGCTGCAGAAAGGCAGCCAGAGGAGACAGCAATTATGTTCTCCTGCCTTTAGGTTCAACCGTGCAGCTACAAAGCCCCAAAGCTATGACCTTCTCATACTTCATGGCAACTTGTTAGCATCAGCGCCTTCAACTCTAGCCTCTTTTCCCCTCATTTTCCACCAAGCTGAAAGCTCATGGAAGCAGCACTCTTAGCTAGAGATATCTCGTGTGCTCCTCAGGCTAAGCAAACCCCAAGGGGATTCCCAGGCTGTTCTGCTAAGGAAACAACATCACCTGTCCACGCCCTGAGCAGCTGCCACTGGGACTCTGATTTCGAAACCCCAGACGAGTCAACAATGGGCACGCAAGCGTGGGCAGATGCTATACCTGGCCACGAGTCCCTGGCTGAAGCAAACCATTTACCACCACATTTCCTCTTTTTGTTTTTACTTCCCCTCACAGGGGGCAGCCCAAGCTGGCAACCAGAGAAGTAATGGGCCGTATGCTCTGGACTCGGTGCCTTGGTGCCCTCAGCACATGGGCGCAGCCTCCATCAGCTTCACTTGCATGGCCTGCCACAGTCCTGCTAATATCTCTAGACAGAAGAGAGGAGGAGGGAAAAAAAAAACAAACAAGCAAACAAACAAGCAAAAAAAACCAAACACACACACACACACACACACACACACACAGAAAACCACACAGGCATTTCTTCTGTAGCAATGGAAGCTTCCAGCAAGCATTACAGGGATCTGTGACCTGAAGGGTAAATTTTGATTTTTCCCAAGGATTAGCTAGATCCTGCTTTTCCATACAATCTGCCTTGCTCAGGGTACTCATCCAGCCCTTTGAGCCTGCAAGCACCACACTCTTTATGGTAAATATCTTCAGAAGGCGCCTGTACATTATTTGCCTATTGCACTTGAAGTGACAGAGACAAAGGGACTTGCCCAGGGTCTCACAGGAAATCTGTGGTTGCACAGAATGCTGAATTAAGCCCACCCATGTCCCAAACTAAAACTCACACCTCTGGGGGCAGCCTTCCTTTTTTAAAATCTCAGAACTCCCCATTTAACCAGAAAAGAAGAAGAAAAAATAAGTACATAACTTTTCAAGCATTTCAGCTAGTTACTCCCTAGCCTGACACTGCCAAGGAACACGCACTGCCCTCCCAACATGATGTCCTTCTGTTGTGCACCATTTTCTATGCATGCATCTATCTGAATATGCTGCACCAGCCCTGCTGCTTTCTAAGCAGAGGTGACGTTTTCAGGGCTGGCAGCCCCGCGTACACCTGAGAGGTGTCCTTTGCACCCCTATGAAAGGACAAGCATCCACGTACTTACATCTTCGTTCGTTGTCAAGTTGGAGGCGACTAAATAAGTGTGAAAACCTGAGAGGCCCAAAATAGACCAGACAGAGAAAAAACAAATCACCAGCTCCAGCACAGTGAAAAATAAAAATAGAAAAAAAAAAAAAAAGGAGTCAAGGAAATCAAAGAACTGTTTGGGGAGGTACTCATGGTGAAGACCGCATGCACTGGGCCTTCTAAGCACCCTCAGCATTGAGGGGTTGGCCGAGAAGCCCACACAACACAGGTACCTGCTCATGCCTTCTTCTAGGGAAAAGGTGCCCCCATTCCCAGGAAGGAGAGAGCATTTCAGCGGCAGGGACCTAAATATGGAATTAAAAGTCCTACCACTTTGGTGGTAGTATCAGTCTACAATGGAGAGATGCCTGCCTGCTCCCACAGGCAGCTAGGGGCTAAATTAGGTTTTGGAAAGTACATCAGGGTGCCCCTCAGAAGAAGACATTACACTCCCACATTACACCATCAGTTTTGTTGCACTGGAGCTCGGCAGGCCAAGCAACTGAGAGCATTAGAAGGATATCTTGCGGGTGTTGTCTTCAGCGTGGTAAGGAATCCATCTCTCTGAGAGCCTACAAAGCAAAACAGGACAAGAAACTATGTTCCATTAGGCAGTCTCTCATCTCCAGGCAACCTCCCTCACCGCCGAGTGCACAGCTGTCCTCCTGCAGGTCACACGGATCTGCCTGGCTGCCCAGAGTCTGTGACTCTGCAGAAATGTCAGTGAGCAGACGCAGCTCCGCGAGGTTCAGGGCTGGCAGGCAAGTCACTTGCCCTGTGAGATCCAGAGTAGATGCACCCAAAGCCCTCCAGTCCATGGCTGCCCTAGCATCACACACAGCCCATCTGCTCTGGAGGGAATAACCTAGTCACCAAGTGCCACGATTTCTCTGCAGTAAAGTGCAGGATCTAGGGTTCCCGGCAGTAGGACTCATATTTAACTAGCAAAGACCAGCCCCTTCTCTGTCCTCTAAGAACAGGGACTATGTGCTTCAACAGAGCCCCAAGTTGCTCGTCTCCAGGAGTACAATATGCTCATTACTACTAGTAACTGCAGTACTTACGCAGAGTGAGGTGGGTGACAACACAAGCGAAGATGAAGGCAGTCAGGAAGGAGAGGGAGAGGATGAAGGCATAGAAGTAGCGGTAGTTGCGCTTCCCCACGCAGTTGCCCACCCAGGGGCAGTGGTGATCAAATCTCTCTGAAAGAAAGCAACATCGTGAGGACTGTCGTCATCTCACATGCGGTAACAGAGCGAACAGAGAGAACCTCCGTGGATCCAGGAGCTGCAAACTGAGCTTCCACCCACTGCACTTGAAGATCAGAACCTCTTAGCAACAGCACATTAACATCAAGTTTCAACGAAGCATTGCAGCCTGCTGATATGCCCTTTTATAATATTAAAAGCCAAATCTTTCCTCTCTCCAAGCCCCATATAAATGCAAACCTTGCGCCTGGTATAATCTACTATTACTAAAACTGAAAGAAGGCAGGGAAAGTGCAGATGTTTTTCCACTATCTTGCAGTATTGTGTGTGGGCGCTCAGCATCATTGCTTCCCTTTGGTGCAGCGGGCCCCTCCTGCATTCTTCCGAGCAGAAAATAGTTTTCAAAGTCATGAAGATACGCCTCTAAAAACCACAACTGCCTAGGAACCCAGAGCAGATGCAATACATCTGGAAACACGCAGAGCTGTCTTCTCATGAAAGGGCAAGACGGCTGCACCGTCGAGCCAACTGATGCAAGTAAAACACATCAAGGCAGGAACACACCTGCTCCTCCGCAAAGCTCCTTCCCAACGCTGTCCCCAGCACGGCTACTATCCAGTGAGCTATTCTGGTGTAAGGAGGAGTCACAACATCCACAACTACACCCAGGCACATGGCTAGCAACTCACAGCCTTTTCTTAAGAGAGTCTTTGGGATCCTGCACCAGTCTCAGGCCAGTCAGCCCTGCAGAGAGCATAATGCAGAGCCTCCAGCTGCCTGCAGCACACGAGATACCCACCCCTGAGCATGGAACTCTCTGGACATGCCACTCTACCACATGCCACCCTCCTGGCACTTCAAGTTGCTCCTGCACAGCCAGGCTGAGCAGGGAACCTCATCATCCTCTCATTTCCTGCCTCACTCATTCCCCCCATCGGCCTAGGGCCCAGTTGTGTGGAGCTACCAGAGGCTTTTCTTCAGATTTTCATTTTCTCCTGTTCCTCCTGTCCTAACAGGACCCAAGGGCACAGCAGGAAGATGCAGAAGGGCTAAATCAGTCTGTGATGCTGCCTCCACAGCACTGTGCCACCACTCTGCATCCTCACAGAAAGAGGAGATGCAGTATCCTCCAGTCCCAAACCACTGCACTGGCCTTTTATTTGCAAGAGAAACAAGAAGCACAATTAATATCCCACCACATAATCCTCTAAAAAGAAGCAAAAGCAACCCACCCATGAATCTAAAGCGCTCCCCTTCCACAAAGGATGCCAGCACATTCCCAGCCTCCGGACTTACCAACGCAGTTGTCGCAGACGCTGCAGTGAGAGGTTCGCGGAGGGCGGAACATTCGGCAGGTGTAGCAGTACTTCAGCTTCACCACGTACTTGTTTATGACCACCTCCATGGTGCGGGCTGGTGGGCGGTATGTGGAAGTACCCATGTTATCTGCAAGGAGAAGGAAGGATGAGCAAACCACACCAAGCAGCTGCCTGCTAAGGGCTGGCACGTGCTCGTCCGCTCTCATCATTCCAGTGCTGAAGCTGGGAGGCACCTCAGCCTGCGGTTTCCGAGCAGGCAGCCCAGCTCTCCAGGGAGCTCCTCGCAGCCTTGTTTATGCTCCCTTCGTTGTCTGTTCAATGGGAATGCTGCTGGGATGCCAAGAGGAAATAATATCTGCCTAACACTTTGAAACATAAAGCAATATATATATATACACATAGCATAAAAGTCAGTGTTTATGGGCCCAGTAACACCAACTCATCTCTACACGTCCGACAGATCACAAGAGACGCATGTGATCCATTAATACATGTGCGGCTCCTCCTCCGCTCTACGCACAGGACTGAATTTAAAGAAATCAGGAAACTGTCACTTTAGGGTAACCTCAGCAAAAGCACATCCAGCCACTGCCAGCACATGCCTCTCCAACCTGCAGCTTACATCAGCAGCACAGCCATAATCAAGAGACTCCTTTTCATGATATAAGGGGAGGATGGCAGGTCTCAAGTGCTCCAGACAGATTTCACTGAAATTGGACACACGTACATTAATAGCACGAGTGGACTATTCATCTCCACATTGAAATTAAAATAATTTAAGGACACTACACATTGCGTTTGGGCATGTCAGCATTTGACTAGTAATTTGGGGCTGACAGCTGCAGAGTTTCTCCAAACAGCAAAAGCGTGAGCTGGGAAACCTCTGTATCATGTCTGCAATTTGGAGAATTATTTTGAAATCCTTTTAATTCACCCTTAAAATAATACCTTTCCAGCTTTCAGGAACTGTTTGAAAATAGAGACTTACCAGTGAGCGAGTTGAGAAGAAAATTAATGGATTATATTAACAGTAACAGCTGGCACAACTAGCAGCTTCGGCAGTCAGCTGAAGGCACAGCTTTAGGCACTTTTAAATAGAAACAGGGATAACCACTCTGACGATATTTTAAAACTAGTTGCATGGGCAGCCACAGAATTATTACCTTGCCACCATCTTCAGTGGGTACAGATTCAAGTTCTCTCACATTCGTTTGGCTAAAGCATCTGCTACCAAGGACAACATCAAAGCCATGTACAGATCCCAAATGCACACACTTTCTTGGCTACCACAAACTCAGTGTGACAGCAGTTTTTAGATAGGAACAAATATTAGCAGACTGCTAGAAACCATTAACAAAGGAGACCTTGAGGCGCGGCAGGCTACAGGGCAAATCACTGCCTTAAAAAAACATTCCTTTCTAAATTAGTTATACTAAGCTCTAGCCACTGATATTTTGTAGGAAAACTTGCAAACTCCCTCCTAGTTTGGATAACTTTCAAAGTAATTAACACACTGTAACAAAAGGGTAGAGACTCTCTCAGTCTAGTCTTTCTTTTTGGGGAAAAAAAAAGAGAAGCAGAAGAGCCAGCCAGCAGTCTCAGCACTGCCTCTGCAAGGCTGTCCTCAGAATCAAGCTCCTCTTGAGAGGCACCAACACAGTGTGGAGGGGTTAAAAACAGTAGCAGTTGCTGAACTGAGTCTTTTGCTGTCACTACATTCACCTGTCCCAGTGCTCTTCAGGAAGCATGGGATTTTCAAAGGCTTCCAGAGAAGTCTAGACAAGCCTGAATTAAACTCCGTAACAGCCAAGCACAGAAAAGGTAACTTGAAGCTCCAGGCTAAACCTGTTCCATGTGCACATGCACCAATTTCACAGTACTGGTCAGGAAAAAAAAAAAAAAAAAAACCCACAGAGAAGCAAAGCTGTGGCCCTTCCTGCCCCGGCAACAGGACCCCTGCTCACCCCAGTTGTGCTGCCTTCGCCTGGAGACCTTTTCAGCCGGGGTCTCGCTGCATTCACACAAGCAGAACGAAACACTTGTAGAGAAAAGCAAGGACACGGGGGCTAAACACGGCTCACAGCCTTTTTCCTTATAAGGCTTAAGCTTTTGAGCTCAACCCTCGCAGCTTGCGGCCATAACTAAGTAGAGATTTGTTGTGCTTTACCAGAAGCAGCTCAAAAATCCACTAAAACCAGCAGCAGTTCCCACAAGGAGTGGTGCCAGTGCTGGGTGCTTGCAGCTAACATACAGATTACATGCTCAGTTCCTCTCATATCAGTCTTCACAAAAAAATAAAAATAGTGTCAGTCATTTCCCCCCCTCCACTCCAGATACAGCAGCCAGGAATCCAGCCAGGAATCCCAAAGCCAGGGTGCTTTTAAGGCGACAAATCCACCAATTCCTTTTACTTCAACATTTCTCCCCTCAATTCAGTCTCGCTCTGCTTCACGGTCCTGCCACCTTCCCCATGCTAACAGTAGCAAGAAACACTATGTCAGTGTTTGTCCGGGCAAATTCACTGCTCCCGCTCGCTGGTGACCACCCAAACACCAGTGCAAGGGAGGCAGCAGGAACAATCAGAGGTAAGATTATCCATTTGACAGTGGACCACACTCGGAATGGGTTCAGCTGCCTGCAGAACCATTCTCAGGCTCAGTCTCTTTTTTTTTTCAGCATCAATTGAGTTTATCTGCAACTGTTCCATTAAAACACAAAAAGAACACTTTATTTCTGCATATTTTTAGAACAACTTCTCTAATTCAGGAAGTCAACTCAAGGATCCTCTCCGTCACCTGTTGGCGAAGGAAAATTCTCCTTTCAAATTCCAGAAGACAGAGGAATAGCAACAAAAGGCCAAGCATTAATGCTATTTATCTTCTGGGCATGCTTCTGGTTTCAGCAGTTTTATAAATATTACTTAGTTAATCCTCAGCAGCTTTCCTTCTTATCAGGGTCAGCCACATCATGTCACACAGTGAAAAAAAATGTGGAGTAGTAAAGAACTGACTCTTCCAAAAGGAATAAAATAAAATAGTAAACAAAAGTTTTGTAGCCTGGATTAGAATTCAGTGAAAATTCAGTGGAATTCAGACCATCACAAATCCCAGCGTCAGATCTGAAGCACTGCCTAGATATTGAAAATGCTGTCACTGTTTAAAAGCACCGCACAAAGGGGCTCTGACTGGGGACTCTACTGCTTCAGCTGCAGGTAAACAGACTCTCAGGGTATTAAGATTTAGGGCACTGATGCTGCCAGCTCCTCCTCATCTGAATTCTGCATGTGGCCATGTGGCCACTGCCCAGGCAGGTCTGAGTCCTGAGGGCAGGAATAGTTACAGCCTCCAATCCCTTGCACAGGCCTCTGCTTGGGAAAGTGACGGAACTGAACAGAAAAGGAAACCACCAGCACTTCCCTGCATATCCCCTTCCCCAGCCTGCTGTGCTGCAGGAGCTTTCACACCTCTCAGCAGGGCTCCTAAGACACCCTAGGGCCTCCTGATCTGAAGCCCTTCTCCCCTAAGATGACTATTAAGGAGCCAGGACTGGCTGAGCCTGAAATGCGCCCCCCACACACATCAAAACAAACACAGGAAAGGGCAGAGGAGTCTCACCGATCCGCTTTTCCAGATCTGCGGCTTCACTTGGGGTGGCTCGAGGCAGGATACCTGGATCTCTGAAGCTTGTCTGGAGCAGACAGCTGATGACAAAGAAGAAGAGGACTGCTGCGATAACAGGGATGGCCAGGGTCAGGTGACTTGCAAGAAAGGGGCAGCTGTTAAAGAAAGAAAAAGAAATCATTACAGATCATGCTTAGAGTACTTGCCATCAGCTACTGCATCAAATACTGTAAATTACTACGGAGTAGTGGACTAAAACACTGCTGCTTTGCTGAGATCCCTGGAAAAGTAGTAAACAGCCCAGAAAACATTCTGTCCCTCTGGAGGTGCACAGGAAAGACAGGTCTTTGAAGCAAAGGCAGCAGAACCAGCTCCTGTACACAGATTCCTGGTCTTTCTGAAGTTCCAGAACAGTGTTTCTAAAGCTGTCAGCCGTCTCAAAGCCCGGTCACCCTCTACAACATATATATGTAAATGCCCTAACTTAACAAGGGACCAAAATTGCCACAAACATGATCTCATTTGGTCCAAAACACGAAGTTGAAAGGGAAATATACTTTGGTTCAACACAGCTTTGTTGTCTCTGGATGACTTGTGTCCTCACTCAAAACATCTGGCACTCTTTGAAGGGCACACACTTCAGTACTGAGACTGCTGCAACAAGCCAGCATCTAAGCAAATAATGCCTGTTGCTGGTCTTGCTGCTCCTTGAACAGGTAGCAGCAGGACCCAAGGATGTTTTCCTGTATGCAGGGACCACAGCGATTGCAGCGCAGCTCAGTTGCTCACAGCACAACATGAACACAGCTCTTGTGCTGCAGCCCCCCTCGTACTCCTCCCTCTGCAAAGGGATTTGCTATTATAAGCACTGACAAGTAACCTGAACTTGAGTACAGACACGCAATGTGTTGCAGTCCGATGGCCATGGGCAGCTCCGAGTCTCCACGACACAGAGAGGCAGCTTGAGAGGATTAAGGAACTTTTGTGTCAACTCCTGAGCTCAGCAGTCCAGAACAAAGCAGCCACCAAGCAACAAAACCCCTCCGACCCCTCCGCCTAGCCCCTCAGTGCTCTCCAGCATGGAAGCGCAGAAGGGCCTCTGGAACTCTGAAACGGGGTAGCTTTCTTGCCATCCCATTCCTGGGAATCTCTGGAGTTCTCCTTCATCCTTCAGGCAGCAGAGGAAATCACACACAAAAAAGTCAACTGCAGACACAGGTAAGATGTATTGCCATATATCTAGCAAACCATAATCCATGCCATAGAAGTGCACCGCTGTAAAAACAACTTGGAAAGCCCCGGGGCATTTTCAACCAAGAAACAGTGACTAGGCAAGAAGGGAAGTGCAGATGTTGTTTCCTCAGCCTTGTACAAAGCAGTTACTGCACTATTATCATCCATTGGTTTCAGATACAGCAGAGAAAGGTGCCAAAAAGTCACAGATGACACTACGAAAGGAGTGTTTGCGCAGGTATCTATTACTGCCTCCCACAGCTGCCTCCCAGTTTCAGCTTGTCTGATTGTTCTTTCTCAGAACCTCTAGCCTGACCAAATACCTCAATACTGCTGACTGCAGGCTCAGACAGCTCTGCTCTGGGCCTCAGAAAGGTAACACAGATCCCAAGGCAGGAATGAACCCTCCACTTAATAGAGGAACAGGGAAAACAAGCTCCCTTCCCTCCCGAGAGGCAGAAGGACAGAGACAGAACAGCAGAAACGCTAGGAGATGGCCAAGAATAAACGGAGCTCTCTCGGCAGCTCCTCTCAGGCAGCGCAGGACATAACGGGTGTTCTGGGCTCTCCCTTCCTGCAGGGCACAGGATCAGGGAGATTCTTGGTCTGTCTCAGAACTACCTTCCCGAAAGGAGGGAATCTGCAGAGATGCAGTTCTCCCTTCCCCAGACACAGCTGCATAAGGAAGGGAGAGCTCCAGCCCAGACCCTCAAGGTGAGGCGCTCCAAGTCAGAAAGGGTTTTGCCATCCCTTGACACTCTATTTCTGACTCTTCCACCCACCAAAATTCACTGATCTTACTGATTTTCTGGCTTCGCAGAAGCCAGAAAATTCTCCCTGGTTGGCTTGGAGGAGAAGAGATTGCAGGAGGGCACCCAGGACAGGCAGCTGAGAAGGTGATTCCCTGCATTGGTCATTGAGGATGTTAAACCTATTGGCAACATTAGGTTCAGGAGACGAGCTCTGGGCCTGCCTCTACCCATCCTTCTCACCCTGGCACAGAAGAAAGTCAGTGGAAGAGAGTGGAAAAGTCTTTGAGCTCTCCAGCATCACAGAGAGGGCTCTGAGGTGACTTGGACCTCCCTCTCCCCAGGTAATGGGACAGGGCAGAGGAACCAGAGCTTCGCCCCAGCACAGGGCCAGGAACTTTGCAGCAGGGGAGCAACTTAAGGAAAAAGAGTGCAGAAAAGGGAGCAATACCAGGACTCCGTATCTTGTCTATAGCTCTTCTCCCTCCCAGCCAGTACAGCACAGTGTGAGGACACTCCCCTCCAGCCAGCAGCTCTGCACAGCAGGGCTGCAGTCAGAGAACACATCCCTGGAGGAGAACTGGGAAAGCGCCAGGGACAGATTCACCTGCAGAGAGGCAGACCCCAGCACAGGACACCCCAGAGCCCCCAACATGGGCGGACAGACACCAAGGAAGGGGGGCAGAGCCCCAGGGGGTCCCCAGAGCCCCCATGGAGAGGCGATAGACCCCGAAGAGAAGGCAGAGCCCCCAGGCCGGACGATCCGGGGCTGCCCCGAGCGCGGCACAGGGAGGACTCACTCGAAAGCAAAGAAGAGGCCGCTGGTAGCCAGGATGAGGCCGAGCGTGAGAACGAAGACGCCGCTGTGCCGCGCCAGCATGAGGCGGCCGCCGCAGTAAAAGCGGTTGCGGCCCGGGAACACCTCCCATTTCCGGCGGGGGCCGGGGGGGGGGGG